ACTCAGTGTATGACTTGATTACACGATCCAATCCGTTATTGCACTAGAAACCGAAGTTCATGGTCTGATTTTAGAAACTGGCAATTTGAGCATATCCTTGGGCTTGGAGGAGCAAGGAACCGAATAAAATACCGATGGGAATATCATGGATATCGTGGTACTTGAACCGAGTGGCACCAAAGCTGGTCATCACCAAAGAGGTAGACAGTGGTGGAGAGACGTGAACATCTGGGGCATCACGGAACTGAGTGCACTCATTGGTGACCGCAACTTGAGCTGCTCGATTAACACAAGCACTAGTGTCACGTGTGTGGGTACATTTAGACTGTCTACTTCATGTCCGAGTTGAAGAAATTAAATTTATTACTCAGAGAGGTTTCCATGTTAATGACTACGCAAGTTCCCTTTCCACGTAGTGCAGATCAGTTTAACTAGCCGAGATTTGTTGCCGTGTGTCGAGGACGACCAGGAAACCTTCAATGCATCAAAATATACACAAAAGTGGGACGCTTCTATATGTGAATATCTTGATTCACCGTTGAGTAATTACTAACCAGGGGTATCTGTGTTGAGCACTCTTTCACCTTTCTTTACCGCCCCCCGCCCGCCAAACACTGAATAAAAGTAAAAATAAGCAACACATGGATAACACAAATACGAAGGATCTGTGTGAACTCTTAAGAATCTATAAAGGATACGATAACGAACGTTGAGCTCCACTCCGAGTGCAGTGTCCATATGAACCATCGCGCAGACTCATCAACTTGCGTGTCGTGATCTAAGTAATTGTGAATAACTACTAATACACACACACATGCACACATGAGTGAGAGATTAAGAGATGATCCACGGTCTGAGCGAAGGTATTTGAAACTGTGGGTGGTCAAGCTAAGAACTGGCATGAGGGTATGAAAATCCTAACCAGGGGATTGGGTCACATAGATTCCGTTGGGGCCCACGAGATCATGGTCACCGATGGTTAGAGACACTGAATGGTATGGTTGGGTGTCGCAGACAGTGGTGTTCGTGCATCTTCTGAGCTTCTTTGCAACATTGGTCCACTGAAATTCTCCATTTTCCATTCGACTCTACTTTCAACCTTCCTGTCTTTCTCCTACTCCTACTTCTACTGTTCATCTAAATGGGCGGCCAAACGACAGCGACCAAAGCGGGCGCACGAAAGTGCATGGTTAGTGGTTGTGCAGACTGAAAACTCTGAAACTGTCTACGACGGCCCCCGAAAGAAGATGTTCCTATACACAACTTCAGAGTTGAGAAGTATCACAATTAATTTCAGTTAGATTATCTTTGATTGGCCGCTTCCCCTTCCTGAAAATTGTATTGTATTTAATAAAAGAAACATTCAGTAAAAGGAAGTAAAAATTGAAAATAAAGTAAAATAAAAACTAGGGGATGTGCGTGGAGATGATACAGCATAACCAATCACGGATATTCCATTAATCACAAATAAATGGGAGTGAAAAATGTAAATAGAAAGATCCCAAACGGTTCTATGACGCACGACTGTATACTTGAATTGCATTTTAAAAACGACAGATGGAGGTGCGATGTTTGATTTCAATGAAGCATTTCACCAAACAACAACTAGAAGGTTAGAAACAAGATGGTAAACATGAAAGCCTTTCTGGGGAAACAGTATACCATCATGACGAATTGGGTACCAGTAATGGTTAGCCTTGTGGACCGAGACTCGTGTTATGTGGGCCTTGAGATTCAACCACACCCCAGATGGAGTCCTAGTTACACTCAGTGAAAGTGATCAATCATTGGGAGGAAATCACCACGAAATTTGACAAGCACCGGTCATCCATCGGACCAGAGCCGAATTGACTAATGCAATGCAAACGGCCTGTGATTCGATAGTCAGTGTGACCTTAGGATGAGGGAATAGGACAGAGTGAAAGAAACCAAAACATACGTGTCACAAAACACAATCTCACGGAGGGAGAAAAAAATCCATTGACCGGGCGTGTGAAAGCAGCAGCAGCATCAGCTCAGAGGCATAAACAAACGTCATGGATACACATCATTGCATGCTGCATGATCAGGTATTAGGCGCGCGCGCACACACACACACACACAAGAATATGGCAAGCCCAAATGAATGACTTTGCTTTGGTGTTACTCTCAAGGTCAATCGTGTGTGTCGGCGTACTTAGCGCTGGAGAAGCCGGTCGATTTATAACCAATCGCATGAACGGAAGCGAATAGGAGATGGATAATCTCTGCAAACATTACACATCGAGTAAAAACCACAGGCATCAATATAAATATATACTAGTTTACTCCTATATATAAATATTATATATATATATATATATATATATTTACAATTGCACGAATTTTGATCTAGAAGAGAGCAAGCTTTGATCCGGAAGAAACGGATGACGCGAATCAAGAGCGCTTCGTAGGCCGGTTAACAGGATGCAGATTATACTGTGTTATGAGTTTTCGACCTGTAACGAAGATCGTACGATATTATCCTCAGAGAGTACATACAAATGACCTATGATTATACACCTCATACTGTACGTGTTAACTGCTAACCGACGGATTTCATACACAAAGTGAATGAACAACCGGGTACAAAGCACTTCAAGGTATTATTGAACTCCAGTCTGAGACCACCCAAAACTGCCGATATATCAAAGCATTCACTCGGATGCAATAAACCGTTGGATCAAAACAAATGGTCGAATGGACAAAACGTATTCAGGCTCTCATGAAAGCAAGTGCAAATAAACCTACGGGGAAAAAGGGAAAAACCTGACTCGGGGCAGCTCGAACCCACACTACCACCACCACCACCACCGCAACCATCATCAACAAACATACACACAAAAACAAACAAGAAAGCGTTACGCGCCCATCCTCCATCAAGAAGAGAACAAGCTCAAAACAGCCCATGAGGTTCGCAGATGATGTGTATGCGATTGGCTTTTGGTTATTGTACATCAAAAGAAAAACCAAAAGGTGTGGAGTTCCGTTCGCTAAACTGAATGCAAACATTAAAATTAGGTGGGGGGAAGCATATTGTTTATTTGTTAATAACCCGAGCAAGTCAGGAGATAACAGAGGTCAACGGATGTCCCACATATACCGATGTACGCAAAGATCGAGACATAAAACCTTGCATCGACTACACACTCGGAAGAGCACAGGAGCATACAGAAAGAGAAACAGAATACCTGTTTGGCCTAGCCAGACCGGATTCCAAAAATGCCATGATCTCGCAACGAAATTAGACCTCGGATTCAATTAAGCATAGGCCAGGGTGCTATTCGACCAACATTGAACTACGGTTGTAAAAGGCAGTCACCGAGTAACGAAGACGTCAGGGTAGGATAGGTGTGTGACCAGGAGTGTCAGATCTCCAAATTTAGCTGATCAATTATGGTAGGCGATGCGCAAAGGTGTTGAGTAGGCTGTAAGTCACCAGCAGCGTCGTTCGTCTATGGTGCCATTTCTCGCCAATTCCGTTCATTTCCGTCGTAGACGAAATACTGAAGAACGCACTTAGTGGTCTCCAAAATGTAGAAATTAAATGAGCAAATGGATAAAAGCTGTACGATTAAGTGTATGCCGGTGACATGGGCTGTCTGTTTAAATATTTGGAGGACGCGCAAAGAGCACTTGATAGACTAACAAGTGCAGTTACCACATTCGGTATGTCCTTTACAAAGTGTATAGTGAGGCTGTAAAACTGGATGCCGCCTACTCCCGCTCTGAAACGAAATGGCCAGGAATTAGGAATGGTGGATTGCTTTCCTACTTAGGTAGCTGCGTGATCGATGACGGTAGGGCAGAAAAAATAACCATCCACATTTCCAAGGCTCGAGTAGCGTATGCAGGACTGAAACACCTTTGTCATCGAGGCGACGTTTCACCAAAGTTTAAAGATCGTGTACATTGTGCTACCGTTTATCAATTCTGCGGTATAGTTGTGATACCTTGAATTTGCGAGTAGAAGATATCCATCCCCTAGAAGTGTTCGATTATCGCGATTTACGTGGTTTGGTTCACGTGGGACGGAGTAAACGGGTTAGTAATCTGGAGGTGAGCAGTCGTGTGTTTCGGAGTTTATCGGGGGTAAACCAGTTAGCATATCGAATTCAGATTAGTAGGCTTCCTTGGTTAGGGCACGTATTGCGTATGCTCAGTTGTCGTCTACCGCAAAGCACTTTATTGACTGGCCTCTCCGAGCTGGGGGAAACCACGTGGAGGACAATAGATGCCGTGGAAACGAGGCGTGAAGAAATGTATAGAGCCATTAGGTAGAGTAGGTCTCTCGCCTTCCAGGTTGGGGTCCGAAAGACTCCGCAACTGGTTGGTTGGAANGAATATGGCAGCGAACCGACAGTCGTGGCGTTCTTGTTGTCATTTCTCCGCAGGTCGGAAAGCTTGAAAGAGTGTGTACTCTATACGCTGGCCATAGAGCTTCACTTCTTTCAAAATGGGTCCACTTCCTGTCTACCTTACACATTACCACTAAATTTATATGCACTGTGAGTTTGGCAGCGATCAATGAAGTTCGCTTCACTGTATTTCGCTGTACGATGATTATGATAATGTCGACGGTTTGCCTGTGTTCTACGCCACTGACACCGAATTAAATCTCAATTTTAACTAAATAATAATAATTAGTCGGAGTTCAAACTGTGGACGAAACAATTTTAATTATCAATCAATCAATCCATGATTGGTATGCAGGCAGACTAATGCTAAGTTGCCGGGACCCATTCGCGCTGCTCTCGCCTAAGAAAGCCGTTGCGGAGGCATTCGCTGGCGCACTCCGTGGAGGAAGTCAGCGGCGTGCGGATCGAACCGCATTTGATAACCACTTCAAGCTGGATAGGAATAAACGAAAATGATATGAACCGAAGATTCGAGCTTTTGAGGAAAAGTATTCCAATCGCACCGAAAAGCCCATTCTATGTATGTCGTACATAATATCGACACCACTATTTTGGCACAAACTGATATCCAGAGTGTCGAAACCCGGCTGCGAGAAAGCGCCAAACTTAAAGATATGGAACATTCAAACAGAGTTCGCATGAAAACGCAACTGTGTTAATCACACAAATCGTGGCAATCAAAGTGCGTGAGAAATTACACTACTATCGGGTTACGGATATCAGCACTTTGTGTAGGACAGGCCAAACGGAGTATAGCCCGTGTGTGACAGGGGAGGGGGGTCAATTGATACGGTACGAGGTACGCGGTCACGTGACCGAGCGAAATGGACGAACTGACAATGTGATAATATGCTGAAGTTATTCGGAATGAAAATATCACAGCAAACCCAGAAACACTTGGCCGATAAACGGGTCCAACCAGAATAGCATCTAGAGCAAGTTTCGGATTTAGTGATGTAAACCGAGTCAATGTGAGCCCCTTCCTTCCCGGCGAACTACCAGTACTGGTTTGGGGAAGGTAAAACGGAATGATGCATCAGCAAACCATCATGATACAGAGTTTGTAGATATTCAGTAGATATGCTCCAAGGGGTGTTATATTTGATCCCGTCCAGCGAATTCCCTGACAAGATGAATGACCTGTGAACATCACTGCAATGTGCGTGTGTTCCACTATCTGTGGGGAACAGTAGAAGTGACTTCATGCTCTCAGTTGATATCTTCAGCATCGTGATAAATTTAACACACAAACGATATGCAAAATATGATGCACTGGTTTAGAGGGGGGATTATCTAGTCCCCCGAGTGATTTCGTACTCTTCATGTTTAGTGAGGTGGTCCGCCGAGCCAAATAGCTTGACAAATGAGGAATGACACACTGCGCTGGAAAATGTGTCCGTAATAGACCTACCTAGAACTATCTAAGGTGATGTGATGAAACTTGAGTGAGGGAACGGTCACAACGGAGAACAGTTGTCTGGACCCAGTTAATAATGATAATCGGGAGAATCATCATGCATCACCACTGATTGCGGGACTGGTGGATATTACACCAATCGATTGAGCATTAAATCTAGCGCAAACATAATAAACCTGTGAGCCAGTTATAGGTTACACAAACACAACACTACAACTTCAAAGGGATGGCTATCACCCACCCCCTGTTCTCATATTTCTATTTTTCTTCCCCAATGTTCGTTGAGTGATGCCACCTTTGCTCTAACATCATCCATTGTGGTCTGTTCCCAATGTGATTTTAGATATTCAGTACCTTAAATCGGTGAATCTCCCCTGGAATAATTATTAAATTTTCTGATAACTAACAAACAGTAAGGTGACAAATAATTTAGATTAGGTACATTGAAAATGTATCCACGGACAATCCACTCCACAGGAAATAGCTCGGTCGTCCTATACAAATAACCGTTGACTTCTCCGATCAGCATTATGCTACTTAAATTCTTGACAGTAGCAAAACCGGAACATGGGGAATCACGTGCAGCAGCATGAAGCATAGCATAGAAAACCCTCACATCGCACAATAAAAATGCACACAATTGAAACATTCACGAACAAACATCAAACAAGCACAACAGCAATTTGATAATCTGATAGCACGAAACAGATCATTAAATACAGACACGAAAAGAATGGTAATGGCCTGCAACAAGTTGCATATAGAGAGCGTGTTCATGACCAAAACACTGTGCCAAGACAAGATAAATACGCCTCCGAGATTGCACACGGTAAAAACACTTCTCCATCCACTGTCTGCCTCGAAATACAACATACCGAGAAATATAACCCAATAGCACGTATACCACATGCTACAGCCACAGCAGTTTGTGACGGTCGAGTACGTCAGTCAGTGCACAACCGCGATTACTAGACACGTTTCGCCAAATTCGGCGTTTTTGTCCGGTTAAATCAACACACATGAAACTTTGTGTGGACAAGCAACAGTGTTCGAACACTGATAACCTACGTTAACTTTCAGCATTTCCACTCCACATCTATGTAGCGTAAAATAGGACCGAGCGGAGAGCTACGGCATACACTTCACGGAAAATCCGATATCGATCTGAAGGCGACATCTGACTCGGTCAATCGCTCTACATCCTGGAGCTGCCTCCCTCTGAAGGTTGTGTCCGAGAAGTTTAGTTCAATTTTGTTATTTCTTTATACGAATAGCCAAAGTCGAGTCTGAGCTTACGCCACATTTTCGCCCAAATTCATCACGGGAAGTGAAGTTCGTCAGCGTTACATTCTCTCCAGTTCCATTTAAATTTGTTATAGATCTGATTGTTGAAATGGCCCTCAAGATCCAGGTGAGTTGCAAGCTTTTCTGGATAGTTTGAGTACTAGTGTAGCCGTGTTCGGTATACCTTTTGCACCTTCAAAGTGCAAAATGTTATTACAAGACTGGGTCGGTCCAGCACCCAGCTTTACTCTAACTGGGGGAGTAGTAGAAAAAGTAGACAAATTTAGCAACTCGGCGGACGGATGAAGCGTTGGCACGCATACAAAGCGTTTGGCTAGCGTTTGCTAACTTGAGACTTGCGTGGCGCCGTTGTGACATCCGGTGATCTGTACAGGGTCGAGTGTATGCTGTAGCAGTTCAGCCAGTGCAGCTTTACGATGCAGAGATTTGGCCATTGCGAAAACAAGATAAAGGCAGGTTGTCAGTGTTGGAACACCACTATCTACACTGTATGGCACGAATCTGGTGGGGAAACCGGACGAACAATGCTGAGGTTAGACGCAGAGTTTCAGCTAATCGCGGTGGCCCATTGGAGCAAGTGGTTGACCTCCATAGATTACGCTGGTTCGGAAATGTGCTATGCAAGTCACCAATTAGGTTGACATGGCGCGCGTTGTTTGCAGGCATTGGATGGAAAAAGGTATAAGGCGGTCAACTTAATACCTCACATGAAGATACGA